AACAATATGGTAAATACTAACCTGCCGCTTCTTGTAAACGGATGAAAGATGGCCGTTATAGAAGGCGTAGGAATGTTGCTTCATCAACATCACGAGCCCGTGTAGAACGAAAAAGACAGTATCTTGACAGGGTCGTCAGTAGCTAGATTCGCCTCGATGACCGAAAGGCCTACTTACGCGTCCATGGCCATTCTCTTACGAGCGTAAGGCCAATTACACCTGCTATGAATGATGTTTGCCAAACCTATGAGTGCATTAGCCAAAGAGAAGTGATTAAACGACTCGACGACAGAAGCTTACATTCTGCATGATCCAGCCCGACCTATTCCAGTCGATGTAGTGAAGGAAGACAAGTCGCTGAATGACCCAACTCATTCCAGTCAGACCACACATAATGCCGTCGGAGAGGAGTAGGACCACCACTATTTCAATAGTCAGTTCCTAGGGCTTTAGCGATGGATACGTACAAAGACTCACCATCTCTTCGAAACATGGTCTTCATAATCTCATTAGTTCCGAGCGGGTTCCCTGTTTTCCTCCAGTTCTCAGCAGCCATCTTTATTATACAGATAGCCACGGCAATCCAGAAAAGAACGTAGAAGCCATGAAAGGGGCTGTTTGCCGCAATTTGGTTCTGTCTATCGAAGGCTGAGAATTGCCTAGTGAAAACCATGTCCCGAAGCTTCTCACGCCGAATTGGCGATTTCTTCTCTTTCTCCTTCGTATTATTAGTACCGTCATTCAGTGTTTTAAAAGGGATTGAGGTAAAATAGGTAGCTTACCCGCTCTAACCCTCTTCTTAATATTTCGCGAAGCTCTGCATCATCGCTTGCCACTACATATGTCTTCTTCCCCTTATCATTGGATCGGAGTTCAAGCGAAGATAGTGACTGGCGAGTCTGCTCGGGGCTCGGTTTTCTTTCCAAGTTCTCTGCGGGTAAGATTTCAGGTGTATCAGAGGCCGAGTTATCGTATGAATCAGACCCGGATTTCCGTCGCAATAGGACTGATTGCAGCGAATCATCCTTTACTTCATATCCCGAGTCGCTGTTACTGTCCGATGGTGTATCAGGTGCACGCTGTACAGCTTTTAAAGCTTCGGCTAGAGCTGCTGGATGTTCAAGGCGACCACGGTTATTAGAGCCGGAGCGGCGTTCCACTGCTGTAGACATGGTGTATTTGAATGGCACGGATGGCTGACACCACGATTCCTTCTCAGTGATAGAATTAAATCGGATGATACTGTAATAGCTGGACTATCTGATAATCAGTGTTGCCCATTGACCATTTTACCTTAATAGCCTGGAAGCCGGTTTGTATATCCTTTTTTAAGATTTTAATTTGTGAATGACGTTGAAAACGTGACCATTTATAAGGCTAGATGTCAAAGTCTGCCCAGTTTCCATACTATATCTCGCTCATTCGGATCGGTCGTATCGAAACTCGCCACCTGACTCTAACACAAGCGGCGCAACCGGAGCCAATCCGCTGCGTTGCAAGTAACAAAGCTTCCGATAAACCCGGTGGGAATCTGGTTACAGGTAATTGGCGTCGCCGCTCCCGTCCGCCGAGGAACTTCTCCTGACCTTCTTACCTAAGAATATAGTCTTTCCTTGGAATCCGGACTGTTGGTAGGTCTGATAGACGACGGATCCGAACACGAGATAGGGTCGAAACACTAGCTAATTCAACAATTGCCTGTGGAACCAACTCCATCAAAAGAGATGTCTTTGTTCCTCTCACAGTACAAAGACAAAATCCGGAGAAAAAATGCACCAGACAGCGGAAACATTCGACGTAATGGCATTGTCATCTTGCTACTAGGTAATCCGCTGGCGAGCGTCATGGTGGGGCACTGTTACACCGCATACTCGCTATAGAACCAACAATCCAGCCTTAAGGATATATGCTTACAGGCTTAAATAGCAGCCTATAGACTAGAGGGCATATATGGAAATATATTAACCGTCCAACGTAAGATAAATGCAAAAATACAGAATAATCACTCATTGCATTATTTATTTTTGGTCTCTACGGAACGTTTGTACGATAGAATTCGGATTTTAGGATTTTACCCTGGCTAGTAGGCAACGCAATAAAGCTCAAACGTATCCTCATCAACATCCCCCAGCTTTTATAATAACCTTAAGTTCTTCGCCCGGCTTGCTGCACTACGAGAGATGCCGAACGGGAAAAGGAAGAAGTCATCTACTGCATCTTCTCATGAGTAGCCATCAGCGAACCTGCATTTTTGGTTAGTATTCGTTACTATATTTGAATTCAGGTTCGGTATACTTACCGATGAAGGTGGTCACCAGTCTGCTCCTGACTTGGCAGATATCCTCGGGAACAAGCCAGATTGTTGCACCTAACTTTCGGGCAATGCTGATACTGAGCTTGGCGTTCAAGTACGCATCTTCGTCGGTTTGTCCGGCGGTAACAAGGTCGTAATCAACGTAACTACTCTTCATGCCGTTGAGCACATCGAGTAGGAAGACGCCTTTACCGATAGCGGGATCCTTGAACGACCGAACTGACGAGTTTCGGCCTCCTTTTCGAGACATGTCATTCGCCCATCTAACCATCTCGGAATCGGTAATCTCGCGCTTTCCAAGGCGTTGCGCCAGAGCCGAAAGAGTCAGGGTTATATCCTTTCGCATTAGCTGCCACACTAGACCCAGTGTGAGCAACTTGTTCCCATCTGTGATATCTGCGCCCTGAATTCCAACTAGGGAAAATCCGTTCTGTTTACCGAGCTCGACAGCGTAGTTCGTGTTCTCGACGGCTTTGAATTTCATCAATTCGCCGCCGTGTGCCGGTCTCTTATTGACATGTCTCCAGTTCACGGATCCCTTGATAACCTTGTCGTAGGCCTGCATCAGGACGGTACCATCACAGAGATCGTCGAAGAAAGACACTACGGCCGGTTGTACATCAAGACTGTTTAGCCATAATGTGAATACCCTAGCCTCTCGTTCGCCTTCGGCATCGAAGTCGTCCACTTGTTGCTTTTCCTCTTCGGTGATGGGATCCAGGGCTGGGTGTGTGTTGAACAGATTAGCAACAAAAGCCAGGTTGAGCTTAGGGTTACCCGCTACGAGTGATTTCGGTGTCAAGAACTTTCGGCATCCGAGCTTGTCAGCATCAACTAATACCTCCTCCGCTCGTTGTAACAGATCGCGCGTCTGGAGAGGAGCTCGGCTGCAGCCATAGTCTTTGCCGATCTGCGCCAATAAGACCGCGTAGTTCTCACCGTCCTTCACATCGCTTGAGAAGTTGTTGACTCGACGTTGCCAGTTAGCTGCTTTGAGATGATAGTTGAACCATCTCAGAAGAATTTGCTCCGGAGGTAAGCGCAAGAACTGCTCTAGCGTCTCGTCCTCTTCGAGTAGTCTGTAGAGCTCAGGGTGAAGCTTGATGTCAATCTTGCCCAAAAGACCCCTGCGAATGATCTGCCAGATCAGACCTAGAATAAGGTGCTCTCGGACCTCGATGATATCACCGCTGCCAATGTTCACGACGGAACAACCGATACCCTTCGCAGACTCGATAACGATATTGTTGTTCTCTGTCATGTGGAATGCGTTCAACTTCTTCACCTTCCTTCCAGGCACATTCAATACACGTTCGTCAATGGTGTCGGGAACGCTGTCGTTGATGAGTTTGGCAAGTACAAGTCCGTCTTTACACTCGTCAAACATCTCGAAGGTGTCGGTAGGGAAAGGCAGTCGATCTCCTATATCGGAGTCGCCGGCCAAGACAGCATTGATGTGGCGGGTGAATTCGGTTCGTTCATCTTCGTTGATAGTGTGAGTAACGTTGGCGCTAGAGCCTTGTACGTGAATTTTGCCGATGCTTCCCTTGGAGGAATGTCCACCGGTCCTCTGGGATACCAGGCCTGCGGGAGAAGACGGTGCAGCACCGCCAGTATTCATGCGCTGTTGGGCGGGAGATGATTCGCGTAGTTTGGCGATTAGCTGTAGCAATATCAGCACCATATCATATAGTTGATATTACTTCGGGTTGTCTATGCCACTTACGCTGACGTAGTCCTCTAGCTCAACCCTTCTGGAAGAGTCAAGCTCTACTTCCTTCAGAGCTTGTCTGACGACATCGTACGGTTGTCGCTCGCTTTGCTGGGTAGCCTTGATGGCGGTAGCTTCGTCGAGGTATCCCTTGTCGTCGACATCGAGCCTACGGAAGGCATCCGTCAAGGCGAAGATGTCGCCTTGTTGGAATTGAGGATATTTCCTAGTTATAGTTGTTAGGTTCGTCGGTTGGATCGAAGATTCGAGTTCGAAGCGGTTGCTGTGACCTTACCTCTGAAGCTTGATAACGTTCATGACCAATAGATCTGGATCTGGACAACTGGTGGTGACGATTGATTGGACCAAAAGACGTGGTGATAAATCGCGACGTTTTTTAATAAGTCGGTGTTTCTTGTTTGTTAGTAGTGCAAATAGTTGCAAATAGAGCTGGTTGCGAATACTCGGTGAGGAGCTCGCAAGTCAAGAGAAGAGTTATTGTATCTTATGCAAAGAATCAAATAAAAAAGCTCGCCTCGATCGAAAAGTCGAAAAGTATTTGCCTAGGTAGATCAGGCTACCTTGCAGCTACCGCTGTTAGGTAGAAGTTTAGAAGTCTGGGCCGAAGCTGCGGCGCGCAGGAAGTACGGCGGGGGAGGGGGTAAGCGCCGAACGTTACAGCTTCGACACTGATGTAATTTCATTCATGCCCCCTGTGTTAGAGTCTTGGCAAATCTTGGCAAAGTCACCAGCCACATTTACTTGCGTAAGGCTCGACGCAAGCAAGATTTATCGAGGCAGCCTGAATTACACAAACAGGCAACAGGCAAATTGTATTGAAAGCGTGAACAAGAAAAAATAAATTCTACTTGAAGGTTAGTTACGTCGTGAATCAGGAATCGAAAATGCACCATCTGTCACCGCCAATCTAATTCAACAAAAATTATTAAAAAAGATACCATTATAATCAAAACAAGGAGCCAGCCGGGTTCGAACCGGCGACCTAAGGATAACTACTTCATGATCATGAAAGATTTACTGCAATCCTTCGCTCTACCACTGAGCTATGACTCCGAGGATGATATCTCTTGTGATTGGCGAACGATCTTTTGGAGTAGTTTATATTCCGTAAAAGCTAATGCGCCATTCGGGGTATGGTGGGGAATTTGAATATTGGATCTATTGAAAATCATACATCTTCGAGAAACACATCTAATACAATTTTCAGAGATTATTGATTATCATTATGATATACCTAGGTAAGTTATTTGATAAATCCGTTCGATGAAATCGGCAGCCCGAGAGACATCAATTTAATATTGACCGATGCCTTATTAGTTGGGACAGCCATCGGGCGGAGATAAACCATTCGGCTTTATCTCATTTCTCCTCCAATTCTGGAAATGGGAATCCCTAGCTTTCCGTATGCGAACGCTCCGCAGCAGGACATTCTCCCTAACCGTAGAATCGATATGCGACCCAAGGAAGACGGGGTATAATGATGGAATTCATTTCGAACCCACCATCACCGTTACAAACGATTATTTGTGCAGCCGTCGAGCAAACTCAATCCGCAGCACACAAGTACGTTTTTGCCCACGCCGACAACGAAGCACCCGCTTGCCCGTAAGTTGCACCCGGCCCGTTCATGCGCTGTCCCTTTCCTCCTTACCCGTTTATGCGACACCATAGATGGTATCGGGGGTGATTGTGAAGTTCATCAGTGGCGCGACAAACTGGTTATACGACGCCTCGGCCTTTCCACTGTAGTTCCACCACGTCGTCGGGGAGTCCAGGTCTGTGTACTGCAAGCTGACTTGGATGTTAGGCTTGTGCGATGTTCCGTTGGTTGAGCTGTTGCTAGGAAGGAGCTTCGCAACGACCTCGTAATCCGTTTCGGAATCCTGGAGCGTGGTGCAGGCCCTGTAGCTGGCACCCTCGCCTTCTCCGCTGCAGTAGGCCTTGAATGAGGGTGTTTTGGGATACGCAGTGGTGCTTCCGACGCCAGTAACGTTGAAGTCTGCAACATGTTAAAATAAGTAAATCGAACGGAGCATTTATTAGGTTTGGGATCGTACCGTAATAGCATCCGGCTCTCGCGCACCCGGCACTCCATCCTGTCACGGCCCAATCCCAGCCTGCATCATCCGAAGCAATCTTCATGACCGCCGCAGATGCAGCACTAACGCCAGCTACGGTGGTTAAGAGGGAAGAGGCACGCATCGTGGCAATGGTCGAAATTGGTTAAATAGGCAGGTAGTTGATTTAGGGTCTTGATATGCTGATAGGTATAACTTGAACGGCAGCAAGAGGCTGTTGATATTGTATCAAGCGATTACTTCCAATGGAGACACCTACCAATAGAAGGAGAAGAGTCTAAGTTTTTTAAATACCAACTAGACCAACCGGCACGGTTCCTAGGCTTTGTAGAAAGTGACATTTTGGGCTGCTTGGTTCCTGCGATTGTCTACTGAAAGGGATTCAGGTGGACCTGATCACCGGTACGAGGTTGCAGGTGATATGGAGAATGTTAGTCAATACCCCTGTGGTTCCTGACGATCAAAGCGAATCCAAGGTGCGTCATTGGCGAAGTGGGAAGGCCAAGAGTGATGGCGCTAGGTTATTTTTATTCAATGGCCGCCGATCTGTTCGTATGGGGAATTAAATTTTGAAAGACGAAATAAAAGGGGAAGTCTTAAGCTTCCTTCAGGGGACGGAGGTACATCCGCATTTGTAAGAACACAGGTATTGAGCAAGTATCCAGTCTCGTATTGCTGAGTTGAAGAGTTACCAAATGGATACCTGCTGATGTACTTGGACTAAGCCTCTCATGATTCTTCCATCTCATTGTGATTACCTATTCTTTGGGTTTATGCATCCATTGTGCTTCAATTTTCAATGCTTTTCGATTGCTTTATTTCCTTGACTTAGTTTCCCGAGTCACTGAAGAATGGGATATGTTTGAATGTCGTTGTGGTCTTTGTCAAAGCGATTTGCCTTTATTCACGAGAGAGGCCCATGACAATTCTGTCTAGCGAGACTCACATACAAGCATGCAGTAGCAGTACAGACGAAGGAGCTTTTCTTAGGAAGCGTAAGCACAGAAATACATGCCACAAAATCCGATAGGTTGTCAATCTCGCCGAGGCAAACATCCTAAGCCTTGTCATCTTCGGAATATAGCAAGCGACCGCCGAAGCAATTACCCATGTGGTACACCGAAGTCGAAAATAACCAGGAACTCTGTCCGTCAGATACCACCAGTCTAATCCTCCGCTACTTAGCAAGGTAGGTGGAAATCACTTCGATTTTTCTGTGCCGTATATGGCAGTTGTGGTGTTACTTCAGGCCATATCTCACGTTATACACTATACCCCTTATGCTTTCATTGGGAGAACTCTCATGGATTCTGGCAACATAGGGAGGTACTTGGGTATCTGCAACGATGTCTTCCTTTTCAGACAGAAACAATAGATTCATGTCATTCATATCTTTATTGCGGAGTACAGGAGGACCAAGTATCAACGTGATTTGCTCTGAACGCACAATGCGATACCGCAAAGTGAAAGAAGCATCCCTATCCAAGTATCTGGAGGACATTTAGTAAGTTGTTGCACTGATCCTCAAGCATCCGGATCTTACCTCTACTTATAACCTTTCTATCAATCCACCAGTCACCAAGTACAGTGAATAGAAACGCCAGCGTGTTTACGATCGGAACAGTCAAGCTCAACTCTGTAGCAATATGTGAGCAACTGGAATTTTGCACTCATAGGGTCGTAGGAGATAACATACCTGCTTGACCAATTAATAGGAAAAACCATACACTCCCGGTCAGATTAATGAGTAATGGTACTGCGTATCTTGGATTCTTTAATAGGTCTAGAACGGAGAAAAATGCGCCGTAGACTTTGCTCTTGAGCCAGCTTCCTTTCACATCATCCCTTGCGAGCAACGGATGAGCCGGGGGGTTGTGGTCTCGGGCCGCGCGGCGTATAAATGGTGTAGTGAGTCCCCAAGCAAGCCCAACAAGCAAGAAGCCGGCTACATAGTTAATGGTTGGTGGTTGTGGTGTAGTTCCGGAAGATGACATTTTGGAAAGTTGTCGATGATTTGTTTGATGACTTGAATTGGGAGAATGAGAAATGGCAACACCATCAATGACGGTCGGGGCGTTTCAGTTCCGACGGGGCAAGCCACAATGTGATGTGGCTTTCGCGCAGATATCACATTTACGGACGTGTGTACCTAGATATGTACCTACAATTAACTCTTTCATCACACAAAGTTGATTTCTATATGAACGACATCGTGGGCATGACAATTGATTTGACAGCCAGTTTCTGACTTATGATATCTCAACGCAACATAAGAGTGTCAGAAAATTTCATACCCATCTCGGACAGCGCACCAGCAGAATTATGTACCAAATCATCAAAAGTTGCTAGTAATTATCCCTAGCATTATTAGTAGTCATCCCTCTTTTATTGTTGACATCACGATTGAATATAGGTCGTCATAAGCGAGGGAAAGGCGTCTCGTTTACTTTTTTTTCTGCACAGTATCCCCCCTTGCAATTTGTTATTCGGGTTTCATGCCGTCCTGCTCTCAACTACGTATGATTCAATTTGAGTGTAGTTGGGTTGCTATCAACACGAGGGCGATACCACCAGCAAAAAAGGAGGTTTACCTAATAGTGAAATACTAATTGGACAAAGTTCTAGCGATCCATGATTTACAAATCTTCAGATGATGATGATGATTTACCACGGTTCGCAAATGCTTGTCTTTTAATTATCCCTGAGTTGCAGCGTACGGTACATCTCTATGCCTCAAAGCCGATGCTGGGCTTGGGCTGATATGAACATTGATGAAAATGATATCAACTTGGTTGAAATTGGTAGGAATACACCGCCTGACCGCCACAATATATCGAGGCTCCATCAGAATGGGAGTTGATGTGATTGGAACCATGGAATGGTATTGTCGTCACCCATTTTGAGGCTGAATCGAATGGTGCTTCAGGCCAACGGTGAAGGGATGCGTGGGCCAGACCGGCATTTGAAAAACAAAGCTTCTTTAGTGGGATTGACTTGTAGCCAATCGTTCAACTTTAGCGGAGAAAAGTATCCGTAGTGCCTAGAGATCCGATGTCAAGGATGAGCTTTGACGACAACTCCTTGAGCTAACACTGGTTGGCTGGGAAGGCGGTGGGTGTTTTGCAGGACCCCGACTCGCATATGTCGAACCCCGGGTTCAGCTAAGAAAGCATCTGCTTGATGAATCATCTATCGTATTCTGCATTACTAGATTCTTTGCATCTCAGACATAGGTAGCCCCAAGTGGCTTGAGTAATGATGTTGTGATCCTTGGTTCGGCATAGTCGTTGTCGTCATGACTTGACAATCTATGTGCTGGACTGCGAGGAAATCAGCAATGGCTATCCTATACTAGGGAAATCGAGTAGTCGTATCGTAGAGGGATATGTGTATAAAGAGGATAACTCCCCGCTACTTTCTGGAGGAGAATATATTCTTTATCACAACCAAACAACTGCATATTACCGAATCCGTACAAACCCACCAACCTTATTTTAAATAATCTTCCGTCTTCACACCGTTCAACATGCCTACTGAAGCTCAGATCGCCGGTGGCCACAAGGCTAACATCAACAACCCCAACACTAGCCAGGAAGCCAAAGAACACTCCAAACAGGTTCTTGAAACCGAATTCAACGGTGGTGACGGTTAGTGTCTAACTCGAGATCGGAACGTACCATTGCTAATGTCAAGAAGTTGCCAAAGCTGGCGATGATGAGAACAAGAACCCTGGCAACGTCGCTGGTGGACTTAAGGCGTAGGTTACATGATGTACATTGAGGCTGTAGACCTTGCTGACAGTGTGACAGAACCTTGAAGAACCCGAATGTTTCCGACGAAGCCAAACAGAGCGCGAAGGATCGTCTTGACGGCATGTAAAGTGATTTGGCGGAGTTGGCGCCTCGATATTAGGATACTTGGTAGATAGCGCGACCTGGGTATAGCGAGTATTGTCCAGCTGGTTATCAATACATC